TTTTTTTTTGGTTGTAGTTGTCATTGTTGTTTGGCAGGCCCGGGCTGGATTTGAACCTGCCAGGAACTGAGTCTTAACTACTTTTTTAAGGGTGGAGAGGATCTGGGTTGAGGCCTGAGAATGGCTGTTCCTGGAGAGAAGAGGATTAAGGGCTCATTCTGGGGCTCCCAAGGAGATGGGGGTCTTCCCCGAATTTGTAATGAATTCCACATCCCTGCGATGACTCCTTTTGGGAAGTCCTGTGGGTAGAGCCATCTTCCTTTGCAGACTTGGCTCTGAACAGCCAAGAGCAACTTTTGTGTGCACCCACAGGGCACGTCCCAGCCCTCCCCTTGCTACCTTGTATAACGGGGGGCAGGGTTTATAGACTCAATGACCTCACTCACTCATCCACTCAGGAAATGTTCACTGAGCCCTTCTTATATACCACTTAGTTGTAGGCCCTGGAATGTGTAAAACCAGGCAAAGTCCTTGTGAACACAGAGCCCAGTAGGGAAGGCTTAGAGCCCAGTAGGGAAGGCAGACGTTACATTGTGAGCAAACATAAATAGGAAGCCACACTGTGACAATGGCTTGGCTGCTTTGAGAGCCAGTTCTAGAATACTAGGCCAGATAGGATGAGGATGGTCTGGGAAGGCTTCCTGGGAAGAAGGTGAGGGGGCGAGCAGCTGAGGTACAAGTGAGACCAGTGCTGCAGGCTTGTCAGTGCATGTGCAAAGGTCCTGGGGCCAGAAGGAGTTGTTGAGTGTGATAAATTAGAGATAGTTCAGTGACTGGAGGATGGAGTTTGGGACAAATGGAAGCAAGGGAGAAAGTTGGCGTGGGGCTAAGTTGGAGCTTAAAATATGATATTGTTAAGGATTATTGAATTTTTATACTAAATCATGTTAATCTTTCAAAGTGTGGAGGTAGGGGAGGGGGCCCCTACTTAGCTTTGTGTTTTGAGAAGCCCCCTCTGGAAGATTTGGCTATGGGGGGATGACACAGTAGGATGCTGGCTCCTGCCACCATCAGTGGACCTGGCCAGCAGCTCACGGCTCAGGCTGGTCCTTGGTCCCCCCTCATTGTTCCTCTGTGGGTCCCCATGTCTGATGTGTCCCGACTCCCATTATTTCCTTCTGAAGCTGTGTCACCAAAGCCATTCTCCTCTTCTGCCCTCCCTTTATTTCCCTTCTCCTTTCTGACTCTGAGCCTCCATCTCCAGCCCGGCATTCCCATTCATTATGGATTCCAAGGAGGAGTAGAGAGAAGGTGAGGGGTCCTCCGATGAGGCCAGGGAAGCCCCATAGGAGGACCACAGGAAGCAGAGGCAGGTGGGCGTGGACACGCGTGCCCTGGATGCCAGGGAGCTGAGAGCGGGCGGTGGTGGAAGACTGACACTTGCATACAATGTAGGGTGGACAGGCAGGAGCTGCGGAGGCCTGCCGGCAACTGTGCTTCTGTGTGGGTGATGTGAGTTTTGCAGGGGTGAGGCGAGGAAGCAGGAGAAAGGGCATCTTTTCAGTCTGAGTTGGCAGCTGATTGTTTACTCGAGGTGCCTGTGGGGCAGGAGTCAAAGCAGGAAGCTAGGGCTGGAGGTGTGGGTTTGGGAGCGGGAAAGAGTTGGCATGAATGAGACTCTTCCAAGTGGATCACCTACAAGGGAATCACGGGGACAGCAGAGGCTGGACTTGGTACTGGGGCACAGCCACCACTGGGGGCCACAGGGAGGCTCCTGGGCAGGAGACACTAAGCTCTCCCAGTCCTGCCCCATCTGCCTCTTTCTCTACAAAGGAAAAGGGAGCAAAAGCTGATGAAGGTTTTGAGGTGAGGCAGGCAACTGTCGATAAAGGTCTTATTTGCTGTATTTGTGTATTTATTCTACTTGGAGGCTGGGTCATACACCACTGCTGATAAGACACAGCCAGGGAGGAATGAGGGTTGGAATTCACCTTACCAGAAATACAGCTTCTGAATCTGGAGCATAGCCGGGCTAGCCACAGCAAGGACTGCCAGCAAGGCTGTCAGGGGCTTTGGTGATTAGTATGGGTGCCTCCTGGTTATCAAAAGGTTGAATCAAACTCAAGGAGTTTCCTTTCCTTTCCTTTTCCCACCGCCCCAGGTGCAGAGTAGAGTTGGAGCCTGCTGTATCTGATAATTCCTTGGTGTCAGGTGCAGTCTGGGGGTGTGTCTCACCATGTCACACAAGCAGGGGAAGGAACTGGGGTTCCAGACGGCTTGCTCATTCTATTGGCATGGCCTGGGTGGAAGGCCTCAGAGGGCCGGCCTGGGGCACACCCACCCTGCACTCCCTCCCTGTGCTGTCCTGTGGGTGACCTTGTGACCACTATGATCCTAGCCAAAGGTGGAGGAGCTGGGCCAGCAAAGTGAGGAGTGGCCTGTTCTTCTTTCTTTAGGGTATACATTTGGCTATATATTTTTTTCTTCTTCTCTTCCGTCTCCTTTTTCTCTTTCTTTCTTTTTTGAAACAATGTCTTGCTCTGTCACCCAAGCTGGAGCTCAGCAGCATCATCTTAGCTCACAGCAGCCTCAAACTCCTGTGCTCAAGTGATCCTCCTGCCTCAGCCTCCTGAGTAGCTGGGACAACAGGTGCCCAACACCATGACCAGCTAATTTTTTTTTTTTGTAGATGCTCTTGCTCACATTGATCCCAAACTCTTGGCCTCCAGCAGTCCTTCTGCCTTGGCTTCCTAGAGGGCTAGGATCATAGGCGTGAGCTGCCACGTCTTACTGGTGGGACAGTCTGGTGGGCAGTGCCAGTGGTGGGGCAGTCTGGTGGGGCAGTGTCACTGGTGGGGTGGTCTCACTGGTGGGGCAATCTCATGGGTGGGACAGTCTTACTGATGGGCAGTCTTATTGGTGGGCAGTCTCACTGGTGGGGCAGTCTCACTGGTGAGGCGGTTTCACTGGTGGGGCGGTCTCACTGGTCAGGTAGTGCCACTGGTGGGACAGTCTGGTGGGTAATGTCACTGGTAGGGCAGTCTCACTGGTGGAGTAGTGTCACTGGTGGTGCAGTCTCATTGGTGGGACAGTCTTATTGATGGGGCAGTCTTATTGGTGGGCAGTCTCACTGGTGGGGCAGTCTTATTGGTGGGCAGTCTCACTGGTGGGCAGTCTCACTGATGGGGCAGTCTTATTGGTGGGCAGTCTCACTGGTGGGGCAGTCTCATTGATGGGACAGTCTTATTGATGGGGCAGTCTTATTGGTGGGCAGTCTCACTGGTGGGGCAGTCTTACTGATGGGGCAGATGTGGTTTAGAAGAAGCCAAGCGTGGTCTGTCAGTGGGTCTTGCTAAAAATTCTGAATGAATGACATCACAGGGGGAAAGAGCATGAAATTCAGAGCTAGAAGCTCGGAGTTTGGGTCCAAGCTCCACCACTGACCTCCAGTCCTGGGATGGTGCTAGTCGACTAAGTTAGTTCCTTTTGGAGGCCCTGAGGGAGAATCTATTCTATGTAGCTTCCTTGGAGTCTGGCGTTGCAGGTAGTCCTTGGCTTGTGGGTGCATTGCTCCAATCTCTGCTTCCATCTTCCTGTGGTGGTCTTGTCTGTGCGCTTCTGGGACTCACATCTGCCTCTGCCTTTCTCCTATAGGGACACCTGTGATTGGGTTTGTGGTCCATCCTAAACCTGGACTAATTTTATCTTTTTTTAAATATTAAATCATAGCTGTGTACATTAATGCAATCATGGGGTACAATGTGCTGGTTTTACATACAATTTGAAATGCTTTCACCAAACTGGTCGACATAGCCTTCACAGCATTTTCTTAGTTATTGTGTTAAGACATTTATATTCTACACCTAGTACATTTTACATGTCTGATTTTATGTTAAGATCCTTAGCTCATTGCATGTGCAAAGACTGCATTTTCAAAGGTCACCTCTGAGCATCAGTGGACATGAGCCTTTGGGGAACACTGTTCAACTTGGTATAACCATGGATTCAGGGGAGTGGAAAGGAGGGCCTGGAAGTGGCTTTGTGTGTGCTAGAAGCTCCCGATCTCCCTGATACCTGGTGTGAGGACCAGTAAGACGCCTGGAGTCTGAGCCACCAGGTGGACACCCAGGGTGTCACCACTGGTGACTACAGGAGGGTTAACCTGCACAGTTGATTCACACAGATGGACTCATTCACCAACTGGAAACACTCTTTTCTTCCAGCTTTGGGATCCAGTTATCAAATCCTAGAAGGTCCCAAGAATGTAACCGTCCTCCAGGGCTCAGAGGCTCGCTTCAACTGCACTGTCTCCCCGGGCTGGAAGCTCATCATGTGGGCTCTGCATGGCACCGTGGTGCTCAGTGTGACACCCACGGAGTCCATTATCACCAACAACCGCTTCACCTCCGAGAGTTACGACGTGGGCGGAGACTTTGTCTCTGAGATGGTGATCCACAGCGTGCAACTCAACGACTCAGGGCAGGTCAAGTGCAGCCTCCAGAACAGCGACCGGGATGAAGCTGCTTTCCTTTCCGTCCAAGGTGTGTCTGCAGGTGGATCCACAGTGGAGCACCTGGGGGGCCAGCAGGTCAGATGTTAGGGGTGGGGAGGGACCTTCTGAAGTCCCCGCCGTGTGCAGTGACCCGTGGTCTACCTTCAGTTGGTGCTGCGCTTACTATTATTCTGAACTGACGGAAGCCTTGTGGTTTGTTTATCTCCATCTCTTTCCTCCCCCCCTTCCCCTTTCCTCCCTCCCTTCCTCCTCCTTTCAGACCTAGTCTGGCCTTCAGTTGCCGTGGGCTGAGAATTATTCTGAGTGGACTAAGGACTCGTGTTTATAGTTTTGTTGGTTTCTCTCCTTTCTTCCTCACTCCCTCTCTCCCTTCCCCTTTCCCTGTTTGTTCCCCTCTCTTTCCTTCTTTCCTCTAACTTGTTAAGACCATTATAGATGATTTTTATCACTTCCTTATCTAATCCATTTCTGCATCTATCAGCCCTTCTGGAAATATATCCTGGAATTCTCCTGGGCCAGCTGTAGTCACTTTTCTCTGCTGTAGAGATGGTTGGCAGTCACTGCCCTTTCTCTCGTTTTTCATGTACTTGACTGCGTTTCTTTGCTTACATCATGTCACAGCTTTGGAGCGCACTTAACTTTTTCCTCTTCCCAGTGGAATTTCCCCAGTCGATTTCTCTTCCCTGCCATCAGCTACGTGCTTGTTTTAGTCAAAGGTGTACAGTCACCAAATACCTCAGAGAGTCAGGCATCCTCAAACCATAGCCTGCGGGCCACATGCAGCCCGCCTAGGACATTTATCTGGCTCGCTGGGTGTTTTTGCTGCTGCTGCTTGTCCTGCTTAGCAGCTGACTTGTCCTGGGGCCTGCAGTCCAGCCCTTCAACGGTCTGAGGGACAGTGAACTGGCCCTCTGTTTAAAAAGTTTGAGGACCCCTGCCTCAAGTCATTAAAGTTATTGAGAGACAAGACAAGAAAAAACAAAACTTATTATAATGGATAACTTACTTTTCATTATTAAAGGTAATTTTGAGGTGCTTAAGATCAAGATTGCTTTCCGAGAATTTGGAATAGTCTGATCAAAATTGAATCTGTTCTGAAAAGTATACTTGTACTCTGATGTAGATGTATCAGAACTAGTAGAATTCCTGATTTCTATGGCAGTATTTCTTACAAGAGAGTACATTATGCCTTTGAAATGATCTCTTATATGTAGTAGCCTTTTATTTGCTCATCTAGAAGAAATTCACGAGAATCCTGTATGTATTCATGTTGTTGTTAAATCAGATTTGATATCGTTTGGTGTAGACATTTCTACCTATTTCTATATGTATATATACACATATATATATAGAAAATACAAATAGAAATAGGTAGAAACATATATATACAAAATACAAGTAGAAATGTGTATATATATTTATTTACTGTAGAAATTTAACTGAACTGGTGTGTCTTTACTTTTGTGTGTCTTTAGTTTTGTGTGGTTTAACTGGGCACCATGATATTTTCCAAATAAGTGATTTTATAAGCCTAACCAGGACTATTGGCCTAGTTTACATGACCAATTTCTTGTTATAATAATTTGTGGTTCAAGGAAAGAACACAGGAAAAGAAATCAAAGATATAAATTCTGTTTTTGGCTTTATCAGTTATGTCCCAGAGAGACTCCTGGGATGGCTCGATTTCTTCATCTTCAGAATGGGAATAAGATTTCTCTGCCCACCTCACAGGTTTGCTGTGGGGATCAGGTGAAATATGGAGGATGGTTTGAAGACTCCAAATTCTGCTAATTCTGCACATTAAGTTGGGAGCCAGAGTGGTCTGGGGGTTAGTAGTGCAGACTCAGGGGTCTGGCTGCCTGGGTGCATGTTCCTTCTTTACCAGGGTCACTATGAAAGTTTTGAGACAGACTGTGTGATGGCCCGTTCTTTCACTTCCCAGAAACACATTGACAGCGTCCTCTCTGACTTGCCTGTGCAGGTTTCACCTGGCTCAGCTTGTCGGTGTTAGCGGGAGGGCTTTATTGGTTTCCATCTGCAGGGATTTTGCGTTTCTGGGTTGCTGTGCCTCTCGAGACTTCCCTAATGACTCACATGTTGCAAACGGTGTGACCTCGGCCGTAACTTAATGATTTTGTGTTTGAGTTTCTATCTCATGGGGCCATTGTGTCATCAAATGAATGGAACTATGTAAAGCCTTTATAGCAGCTGGCTCATAGCAATCACCATATGGCCGTTTGCTATTATCGACTGTGTTCCCAGTAAAAGCACACGACAGTGCTAGGCACTTAAGGGTGACTCAGAAAAGAAATGAATAGAATAAGACACAGTTCCTGTCCTCAAGAACCTCACAGGGAGAGTGGATAATGCAAGTTGCACAAACAATTGGGGTGTCACACAGATGACAAATGAGGTTTTATATTCCATATAAGAAATAGAGGTGCTGGGGCGGCTCTGGTTGCTCAGTGGGTGGGGTGCCGGCCCCATATACCAAGGGTGGTGAGTTCAAACCCAGCCCCAGCCAAACTGCAACAACATAAAAAAAAAATAGCTAGGCATTGTGGTGGGCACCTGTAGTCCCAGCTACTCGGGAAGCTGAGGCTGGAGAACCACCTAAGCCCAGAAGGTGGCGGTTGCTGTGAGCTGTGACATCACAGCACTCTACCAAGGGCGATAAAGTGAGACTGTCTCTAAAACACAAAACAAATCAAAACAAAGACAGAAAACAGAGGTGCAATGGAGAGGAGATGGCAAATCAGTCAAGCCTGTGTGGATGAAGCCACGGAGGGGTGCGTGTGAGACGTGCTTTTGCGCTGCACAGATGGTGGACAAAGTGAGGAAAGAAGAGGCCCCGGGCCAGGGAGACGGGCCAGACGCAAGGCTTATTACGCAAGGTGCAGTTATGACACGCCGAATTCAGACAGCCACACGGCTGTAGGATCTTTTCTGAGAGTCAAAAGTCTACGGACTTGTCTGAATACCCCTCACGTGCGTGTTTGTGTATTGGTAATTACTGTAGTTTTTGGTTTTAATACAGATGGAATAGCAAGTGTCTAGGGAAGTGAAAGACTCTCTAAGGTCACACAGCAGGACCCAGAGAGCCCGGGCAGAGGTCAGTCGTTTTACTCTGGTTTCACTGTTCCAAATGGAGCTTAGTTCCCAGAGCAGCAAATGTTCTCTGAGCAGCAGGGTCTTTCCCTTAAGGGACAAAGAACCTTGAAAAAGAGGAAATGCCCCTGAATTACCCATTGATTGTTTCCCCCTCCTCCTATCTGTCAAAAAGAAAAATAAACAGAGGTGACATAACTCCAAACTGACTCATCCAAAATCTACATAAATATTTTAGCAATTACTTCCGTGCAAAATGTTTGTCGTGCCACTGGGTAACCTTAGTGAAAGCCCTAGGGGGAAATTTGAATCTGAATTGTATCCAGAAAAAGAAAGAGCTGCCCCGCCTGTGCATTGCCTGACCCACCAGCTGATGGCACAGAAACTCCTGACCTCTTAGGTTCTGAGGGCCACACGGACTTGATTAAGTTCAGGATCTTCTGTTACTAACAGAGGCGCCTCCCAGTTCCTGTCATCTTAAACCGCTGTCCATCGAACGAAACAAAGCAGTAAGCAAACAAAAGAACAATCGCAAAACCTTTTAATAAGGAACAAATCTTCTTTCTGCTCATCTACATTTTACAGTAGCCCTTGACTTAGCAAAAGTGCCTTACCTGTTTTATGAGAATATTCAGGAAAGGAATAACTGGAAATGTAACATTTCCGAGTAAAGGATCTTGCAGAGCTGATTGAGGGCAGTGTGGTGTGGGGGCCCCCAGGCATACCCTCACACCCCCTCAAGGTGGTCTGTGTGGTCAGACTCTTTTCATAATAACACTAAGATGTTAGTTGCCTTTTTACCCTCGTTCTCACAAGTGTACATGGGAAGTTTCCCTTCTACATTGGAAAGGTCTGGGTAACTCTGTGGACCAGGATTTTCCAAACGACTAAAGTATAGTGATATAAAATCATGTGAGGGTAGAAGGTCCATTCAAAATGCCAGATAGTGCAATGGATTTTAATGCAACAGAAAATGAAAGTTTCTTTATAAAGTTTCAGATTCCACAACACAGCTACCTTCTGGAAACTATTACTTTTGAGTTCTGGCATAGTATCTAAGAATATTCACAAATATCAGAAAAAAACTATTAAATCCTCCTCTTTATTCCAACTACACATCTGTGTGAATTTAAACTTTCTTTACAATAAATTTCAGGGGTGTCCAACCTGTGGCCCCTGGGCTGCATACAGATAATTTGAAGATTGTTTTGCTGGTTTGTGGTGTGAATATCACAAAATGTAGGTATGGACATTTTCTTTTACTAATTGGCTTTTGTCAGTGTTTGTGTGTTTAATGTTTGGCCCCAAACAACTCTTATTCTTCCAATGTGCGACAGGAAAGAATAAAGGTTGGACACCCCTGCACACCTTTTGAACAAAGCAGCATATCCCAGAAGATTGAATAAAGCAACAGAGATGAGACTCCAGCCAGACCTTAGAGATTTGCATAGATGGAAAACAAGGCCCCTCTTTTTATTAATTTTTTTTGTTTAAATATACAGTCTTTTTTTAAAATAAAAATGTTAGTCTAAATAAACATGTAACAAATTTTTCTTGTTATGCTGAGATAAATATTTTGAGTTTGATAAATATTGATAGGTACAACCACAGAGATGAAAGGTCTTTGGAGTCCTCAGTGATTTTGAAGGGTGTAAAAAGTACTGAAACCAAAATGTTTGAGAAGTGCTGATCTGGTTAAATGATCTCACTTGATAGATGAAAACTAGAGAACCCTGAAATTTTCATGACTTGTCCAAGTTGATGGTAATTTTGTGGCAGAGCCAGGAGTGAGAATAGTTTTTGATTCTTTGTCCTGTGTTCTTTCCATTACATTATGTAGAAATTTTATCTTGTTTTAATTAGGACATGTGTGTGTGTGTGTGTGTGTGTTTGTGTGTATGTGTGTGTGTTTCACAGAGGCTGTGTCTTTACTGGGACCAATCCTCAGGTTGTGTTAATAACACTTGCAGAAACAGGTGTGATTTTTATATAGGTTATTTATAGTATGAGTGCTGGCCTATGCAAGTGGGTTCTTAATAAAAATTAAAAAATAATTTACCAGACTAAGTTATTGTGATAGATGATTGGGTTGGTTATTTCTGTAATTAGACCAGAATTTGATTTAATGTGTATTTAATAACAAGAAATATTTTACGGCAATATCATCGGAAGTTACGTTCAATAAATATGTAACCTCCAAAAGAAATAAACTGAATGGGACCGCCAGGAGAGCCCTGCTTCCCACTCTGTCCTCCTTACCCGGGAAAGCAGGCGGATGGTTCCCCTTTTTGCCTTTGCTGCTGGCACAGCCCCAGACAGCGCTGCAGCTCCACTTCTGTGACTGGGTGGCCTCCCATGACATATGGGCACCTGCCTTCTCTTTCCCATCTAATTATTTTCCTCTGGTTCCTGATTTTCATTTATTCATTTTATGTTTTCATGTCAGCAACTTTACCTTCTGAGAAGCCAGCAAGTTTAACAAAAGATGCAGATGGAACCTGAGTTAAGGTTCCTGGTGTGAACACAGCCTTTTTGAGTCTGTAGGGGAAATGGGTCCAGTGAAATGTGATTTGAAGCAAAAATTAAGAAAAAAAGAAAAAAGAAATAGAAAACCCAAGAGGCACTGTCATGTCTTCAGAATGTTTCTCTCTTTTCTTCTGTAGTTATGGGCGAGTTGTTCATCCCTGGTGGTAGTCCTGTAGTCATTGAGGACAGACCATGTAATGTTACTTGTCGAGCACGGGGCTGGACCTTGCTCCCGGAGTTTCACTGGGTGGTCGATGTCCCCGTCAGCCTTTCAAGCAGTTATTCCGTTGCGGAGCCCGGAGACCTTCAGAGTGCAGTGAGCATCCTGGCTCTCACGCCACAGGGCAATGGGACTCTGACTTGTGTGGCCACTCTGAGGAGCGTGCAGGCCAGCAAGTCTGCCACTGTGAACCTTACTGTGGTCCCGCCTCCCCCGGGTAAGTGAAGACTTTCTGCTTTGTGCCAAATATATTATTATTTCATGCTCTATTTTGTATGTCATTCTATTTTGCCAACAATGCCTAGGAAAATCGTACAGCGACCTTGACTTCAGGTAGGGATGGTACTGAGGGCAAATCACATCTGCTGTTAGTTTAATGTCCCTGCAATCTCTGCTTTTTAAATTCCATCTGAAAGTTTTTCTCTTTTCCAATTACATTTAAAAGCCATTTAGAGTCTTGCTGATTATTTATTGTAAAAGAGCATCAGATTCAGAGACAAAAAGTCAAACATTTTCCTCTAGTTCGTACCCTCCCCCCACACTGATATGAAGCCAGGTCTAATATCTGGGGAAGGAGTGCAGGTCCCATCATATGTCTTTCAAATCAGTGTCATAGTAATCTTCATTTTTTTTTTTTCTTTTTTGCAGTTTTTGGTTGGGGCCAGCACCCTACTCCTTTGAGCCGCCCAATGTAGTTATGGGCGAGTTGTTCATCCCCGGTGGTATTTCATTTTTTACCTGGAAAATTTATAGGGTATTTCAAACTTTCAAGTCCTCATATGTTGTTTATAGGGTCCTCAGCACACCAGGAACTGTAACTGCGCTTCTTGAAAGGTTCATTGGGCCTGTGAGCTCAGAGTTGGCCTGGACAGGGTGGATTGGGGGGCTGGAGTTTAGTTTCTTTATTTCACTCAAGAGGAAGGGAGACCTAGGGAAATGCCGTAATTCTATCCAAGTCATATAGCTAATGGGGTAGATCTGGTTTAAGAGCTTTTGTTTGGGTCTAAACTTTTCCTACTATAAAATCACCTTTATTTGAGATCTTTCAAAGTTCAGAACAAAGCTACAGCCACAGTAAATCCTGACAGCAACAATAAGAAGCACTTACCACGAGCCAGGCACTATTCTAAGCTCTTCTCAAATATTTGCCAAATCAACCTGCATGACAGCCCTTTGAGTGCCTGATGCTCTTGCTCCTGTTGTAGAGACAGGGCAGGGAGAGTGCTGTTTACATTTTGCTCACATCTGTAGAGTTAATGGCAGAGGCACCCCTGCCAGGCTTGCTCTAGAATCTGCTCACCTGTCCACTCTGCCCACTGCTCACATGGCAGGCATGTGGGTGTCCTGTGGCTTCTGTGGCAAAGCGCCACAGACCAGGTGGCTTAAACAACAGACATGCATTGCCTTCTAGTTCTGGAGGCTGGGAGTCTGAGATGTGGGCAGGTTGGCTCCTCTGAGGCTGTGGGGGAGAAGCCAGGCCATGACTCTCCCTTTCTTTCTGGTATTTGTGGGCAACCTTCCATGTTGCCTGGGTGGTAGAAACATCACCCGTTCTCCGCCTTCACATGGCAAACTCCTGGTTTTTTTTTTGGTCTTTCCCAACATAAACATTTTTGAAGGGTCCAGGCGATTTCTGCACATCTTAACTTGGATTTACCTGGATTTTTCCAACATCCTTTTTTTTTAGGCTGAGTAATTTTGGCAAGATGATATAGGTAACGTCATGTGGGCACAAGATGACAATTTTCTCTATCATTGGTAATAAGGCTGATAGTTTGGTTAAGATGGCCTCCCCCATTGTAAAGGCACCTTTTGACCTTTCTGATTAATATGCAGTCTGTGGATCCCGGGGGAATCCTGTTTTCCTGTAGTCTTTCACCTAATAACTTGCATTTGTGAATCAGTCATTGCCCGAATTATTTCTATGGTAGTTGTAAAAGACTGTTCTCCTGCATCCCTCTGGGAGACACTGTTTTCCTTTCCTTCACAATGGGACAGGGATGATCTTGAAGCTGAGATTAAGGCGCACAGTAAAGTCGGTGATGAGGCCTAATGAGCCCACAGGGCGGGAGCAGTGCAGGGAGGGAGGGGAGCGGTGTTGAGCCTGGAGATGTCCTTCCTTAGCTCTGCACATGGGCTACTCAGGAGCAGCACACGCAGCTCTGCCGGCCACCTGCAGGCTGCACACTCACACCTTCCTCAGGCTGCAAGGCGGGATCAGCCCCCGCCTGCGGACTTTCTGAAAATCTTTCTTTCACACCTGGGCTGTCTTTTTCCCTGATTATTCTGCATTGGAGATGAAACGCGGCAGAATGAGAAGACGTGAGTCAGGGGACCTGTGGTTTCTTGTTTTGAGCATCCTGGTGTAACGGAGTCTCTTTGTCCTGAGGGTCTTCCCTGAGTGACAACTGGACTGGGAGGGGATCATGCCAAGAGTCTGCGTTTTCTCTCCACTGCTACAAGTTTTTATTTATCAGCATATGGCTATTATTACTTATTTTTTCAATTTACTGTAAATGCACTCATTAACAAAATTAGCCTGATACTAAACAAAAATATCCATTATATAAATAGAGAGAGAGAGAGAGAGAGAGAGAAGATCTGACAATTAAGTTCGCGAACTCACCCTGGAAATTGTTGAATATCACTACAGTCGCCAGACCGGGAGGGGAGGACTTTGAAGGTGACAGTACTGATATTCAGCAGTGAGGTAGTAGCAGTTTTTCTAGGATGAGTTGCAGACTTAATTTTCCGACCATGTATATGTGAGCGTATACATGTATGTGTGATATACAATAAATTGAAAATGGTTTTCGAGGTAAGGAAGGTTCATCTATGTAGCTTCCGCAGTAACTTAAACCTCTCCTGGCTCATCCACCAGGACTTGGGCTCCCTTGGAACAGAGACAGACTTAAGCTTAAATCTCCCGAGTGTGCGACTCCCTGTAAGAGGTGCCTTCCAAAGGAGCGTGGTCCCAGCAGGCGGGAAGGGAAACAGTGAGCCATGTGGCTCCTGATACCAGCTGCCTTTCAGGTCAGAGTTTGGGGCTTTTAATGGTGCACGTGTAATTTTGTTGAACTTTGTGGTTAAATAGGTGGGGTGGGGGGCAAGAGAGTATATAAAGCCCTGGTGGCAGAGACTCTCCCATGAGTCAGTCACCGCCCAGCGAGGCGGCCCTCCCTTTCCTTTAAACAGGCGCGCCCTCAGGATAAAGCTAGGCTAGATGAGAGGAAAGGTTATTGTATCCAGACCCAAGAGGTTGACACGGGCTGGCACACTCATGTTTCTCTCCTGCAGGGGAAGATGAGGCCCCTGCCAGGGAGGGTTTGAGTAAGTCAACAAGCATGTGATCTTATGCCGGTGGGAATTCCAAGCCAGTCTCTTAAGTCAGACCTTAATTGTTAACCCCAGCTGGGTCCTTTATTATGAAAACTTGTAGTATTTGCAAACTTTGCTTTGCAGAAGGGTCCTTGAAACTGGGTGTGGATGACCTAGGCAATGTTGAACTTGGGCTTTATACCTGATAGCATCCTCAGAACTTTCACATAGGACCCTGAACAGCCTAGTGGGGCAAGAATTGTTACTGGAAAGCAAGCCAGATGTCAAAGGCAACAGAACAAGTAAACCATGGTGGTGTGGTTTGACGGGCTCCATTAATGTGACGCTCGACTCTTGGTCAGCCACAGAGCTTCCAGATTTCTAACTCCAGTTGTGACTGTCATTATATCATGTGTTCATGATCATTATGGACAGCACTAGGCTTCAGTATCTTGTTATCTGATCTGGGGGGGCATCTGGGGCCACTCTGTAATGTGGGGGTTGCTTGGGCATCTGGGGCCACTCTGTAATGTGGGGGATGTTTGCATTTTGGCTGCACACTGGGGATTCCCAAAGTGTGGGTCATCAACCACCTGCATCAGAGTCCCGTGAGGTGCCATTCCAGACTGTGGCTTCTTGGGGAATCTGCTTTCTGTGGAGAAAGGGGGTATGCTTGCTCTCTGTGACTGGACTGGCTTGTATTCAGACTCCTGGTCTGTGGCTGGGGAGGTGAAGTGTCTGTACAATCCTGTGCCCTCCACTTTGACTTTTTTGGGGGCAATCCTTTTCCTGTCTCTGTATATCCCAGCTCATCTCAGAAAGATGTTGACTGCAGTGGAGATAGAGGACATTAGGAGAGCAGTTTGGCTTTCCTGCAATCCTGCAGTTCTTCTCTGAGCACGTCACTATGGGGAGAAAGATGAATGGTAGGCCTGGTTCTGCTGCATTTGACTGTCTGGTGCATAGACGTCTCCATGAAGAATTGGAAGGGAACTCATCCCCTTAATTTGTCTCTCCATCCATCCCTCCCTCTCTTCCTCCCTCCCTCCCTCCCTCTCTCCATCAATCTGTCCATCCATCCACTAATCCATCCATTTCTTCACCCATCCATCCATTCATCTATTTATCCATCCATCATTCATTCATATATTCATCCATTCCTCCATCCATCCATCATACATTCATCCATCTATACATCCACTATTCCTTTTATGTTCTAGGTGCTTGGACTATAAGAAAAATAAGACCTAGTCCTTGACCTCGAGGGGACTAAATCCAGCTTAGACAGTAGCAGATAGAAGAAGAAATGAAAGTAACATCAGTGGTTTCATAGACACTTGAGATCGGAATGAATGTGAGATGTTACAAAAAAGAGAGACTGTCAAATTTCTTAATGCCTTAGAAGGAAATTTCGAAAACCATCTCACATAATGCAGAGAAACTTTGCAGGAAGGGTAAAAAATAATTCTTCAAAGCATCAAATTCTATGAATTTTAGCATTTGTTTGGACAAGACTCAGGGTGGGTGATGAGTGTAGACACCAGGACGTGAACGATCATCTCTAACCTTTCCTGTAACTTATTCTTAGCATTTATCTCTGACGCAGGAACAGAAAGAAACAATTTCCAGGTCAGTTTTCAAGGGAAATTCTAAGAGCTGTTTTTCAACTCTAGCTTCTGGTTCCAAAGTGGCAGATGGCTGTTGATTTCAAAGCAAACCCTCTGTTCCTTCATAAGAAGTCTATTCATAATTTTAATATTTTCTAATGACTAGCATCCAATAAAATAGACAGCATGCGTTGACATTGCGAGACCAGCCAAGCATTCGGGGTTGAGTGACAGTCTTTTGTTGAATGGCAGTTCATACTTACGAAGATCAACTTAATTGTTTGTAGTTCGACTTCAGCCTGGTTCAGTAGGGAGATGCTAAGTGCCAGATAAGGGCTCTCCTGGGGACATCAATGTAGTCCCCACAGGTCAGTGGCCAGGCAGCACCCTCCAATAAGAGTTTCTGTGATGATAGAAGTCTTCATCTGTGTTGATCAAGCACTTGAGATGTGTGTAATGCTACTAAGCCACTGAATATTTAATTGCATGCAACTGTAATTTAAATTTGATTTATACATGTGGAGGAGGAAGTGGGCAGCTCTGGCTAAGGGATGGCAGTAAAAATCAAAATGGCTTTTTCCCCCTCTCTCTTTTTCTCCCCACCTGTCTTTCATTTCTTGCCAGCTCTGCCTTACCTTACTGACCCTTTCTTTCTCCAACTCCATGACTACTGGCTGAAATAAGGAGGCAAAGTGGAAACTTCCAAGGAGCTGTGGGAAGCAATTACTATGTGAGGGCTGAACTCTGCCGTGGGGTTAGGGTGGGGCTGCCACGAAAGACCCCTACACTAGTTCCTTTAGGTGTGACCCTCCCTCACTACTTTGTCCTGGTTTCCTCTGGGCTCTGGCCTATCAATGGCTAGGGACATGGAAACAAGTCCCAAATGTCATTCTTCCAGTCTAGTCTGGCTCTAGCCACCCAGTAAATATTTCTTGAGGGTATCTGAGCATGATAATCACTCCTGCCAGTGGTGGCTCCTGTGGCTCAATGGGTAGGGCTCCTGCCTCATATACTGAGGGTGGTGGGTTAGAACCCAGCCGGCCAAACTGCAACAAAATAATAGCCAGGCGTTGTGGCGGGTGCCTGTAGTCCCAGCTACTCAGGAGGCTGAGGCAAGAGAATCACCTAAGCCCAAGAGCTGGAGGTTGCTATGAGCTGTGATGCCATAGCACTCTACTGAGGGTGACAGAATGAGACTCTGTCACTTAAAAAAAATCACTCCCACCACTGTGGGAGTTGTCAGCCCCACCTGGCCTTATCCATCTCTCAGGAATGCTCGAGGTATTAACAGCTGACACTGGATTGGGTTACTGAGCAGTTATTTACTGGCAAAAGTAAGTATCATGATGGAAGGTGTTGTACAGTTTGAGTAATTAAACACACTGAAGGAAAGTTAGCCAGTGATGCTCAGTGGTAGCAGGTGGAATTATTATATTATTAGAAAACGTAATGCAGTTTGTGGGGTGGCAGACCCTGTGGTTTAGCTGGTGCGTGTATCACTGATGTGTTTTCGTTTTCTCCTTTTGACCATGCAGAGAGCATTGATAAGGCATCGCTGCCCACCTGGGCCATCATTCTTCTTGCAGTATCGTTTTCGTTGCTTTTGATCCTGATAATTATTCTGATTATAATATTCTGCTGCTGTTGTGCCTCTGGGAGAGAGAACAAAGGTAATTGTTTGTTCATATAGATTTCTTTATACTTTTGAACTTTTGGTATAAGCAGTTGAAGTTAATGAGCTCATCGGCTCTTTCAAAAGATACGCTAACTATGCTGAGGGATCACCTCCCACCTGTTAGAACGGCTGTTATAAAAAAGAAGAAATATAAGCACTGGGGAGGATGTGGGGGAAAGGGAGCCTTGCACACTGGTGCAGTGAGTGGGGAAAACGGCATGAGTTCCTCAAAAAGTTAAAGCTAGAACTGCCACATGACCCAGCAATCTCCCTGCTGTGTCTCCGTCCAAAGGACATGAGGTCAGTATGTCTGGGGACATCCACGTGCTCATGTATGTTAACATGAGGTCAGTATGTCTGGGGACGTCTACATGCTCACGTCCATTGACATGAGGTCAGTATGTTCAGGGACGTCTACA